AATATATAACTAGCAAACCCGACGAACTCCGTTTCGCCACAGATGGTTTCGTGAGAAATTGAAGAAAAATTTTTTGTTTGTTTTATATTTGAAAAGGAAAAATTTGATTTTATTATACAACAGTAATGAATTTATTTCGATTACAAAAATGAAGTGTTTTTTAGTTGAACTTCTCTAAGTAATGAAAGTGAATTTGCAAATTATCCGTTTCATTTGAGTGCTCTTTGGTAAACCACATTTTTGTTTTTTTGGTCTGACGTTAACACAAACAGAGCGATGGTTTTCCAACTCGTGAACAGGCAACGTATAACTGCCCATGTGAAAAACAATGATTTTCTAAATATTCTATTTGAAATTTATCCCGCAAACACTAAGCGATTGGCCTTGCGACTTGTTATTGCGAACGCAAGGCGAACTGGAAATTGCAATCGTTTGAAGTCAAACGGAAGACCAGTCAGAATCATTGGTATGTCACCAAATCGCCAGCAATTTTTGATTGAATGGTGAAATTCAGTGCGTGTACATCATTATTCTTTGCGGCAAGAATTGCTCGTTGACTTAACCAAGCATAATTCTGATAATTCTCACTAATGTCATTACTCGAATTTTTAATTACGGTGCGTGAAGTTCCAGCAATTTGCATTAGGGCACGATGCCATGCACCACTAATTTTCTTAGCTATAAACCTTGCGGAGCCCGAGACCTTTCCAACGAATGCAAAATTATCGAAATCGGTTTGTGCGTTCTGGAGTTATTTCGTCAGGAAAGAAAACCCGACTTATTTTTATATATATAGAAGATAATCAGTTTCTCACCAAATCGTAAAACCATAATCGAGGAAATAATTTTTTTTCACATAGCAAATTCGAACATAACTAATATTTGCAAACTAATTAATAAAATAATTGCAATTTTTTTTTGTCTGAAAAGATGTTAATGAAAACACACCTTTTGATAAACAAAAGTTAAGTTATGGTGACAAATGTTAGTGTATAATTGATCATAAAGGTAATTAATTGTTTTGTTTTTTCTAATTCCACTTTTTTTAAAAAAAATTTCTAATTTTCAAATATTTTGTTATATATTTTTTATTCATTTTATAAAAATCCACTATTACATTATCACACTAGGAAAAAACACAATACATAATATTAAACTACATAGTTTAATTTAATTTTGTAAAAGGATATTTGTATTATAAAAATAACTTAGACAGCTTTGGAGTAGTGTTCTTGTATTTAAATATACAGTAGAATCCGATTAGTATGACGCCGGATATATTGACAACCGCTTATTATGACGTAATTTTAAAGGCAGTTTGGTTTCCATATAAAATTTCTTAAAAAAACAGCTGTCTAGTCGGATATGTTGACCTCGCTTACATCGACATTTTGCTTATAATGACCCATTTTTGAAAAAAATTTGGTCCAAGTATAATGACCGACATGATTTTACACCTCCGATAACATAAAGTTCATGTTTTTCATTACACATTGCTATGGTATGACACCACTGTGAACTACCCTTGTGTGTCAGGTCGCTACATACCTTCAGGTCTCTTTGTTGCACGAGATTCGCGCTATGGAAACTTTGGCAACTTCCGGCATGGACGACCTCGTGCAAAAAATAAGTAGGCTCATTCTTGGTGTTCTGCTATAATTTACTGAATTAGTAAACTTCTATATTTTTTACTATTTTTACCCAGTAATTTTTTTTTACCCTGTAAGTTTTACTAGTGTACAGTGTGTTTTCAATCAGTTCAATATAGTGCGCTTTTGTGATAAAAATGGCATCGCGTCACCGTAAAGCATTTACGATCGAGGAAAAATGTAGAATAATACGTAGATTAGAAAATGGAGAATCAAACTGATCTCTGACAAAGGAGCTTGGGGTCGGTCATTCGACCATCTCAATGATTTTTAAAAACAAGAACCGCGTTGAGCAATCGTTCAATTCAAATGTTTTGAAACCGAAGAGGCTTCGAAAATCACGACAAGAAAATATTGATCAAGCCTTAATTCAGTGGTTCAAAATAACAAGAAGCAAAGGAATACCCGTCAGCGGGCCAATGCTACAGGAGAAGGCAATTTTTTTTTGCTGCACGTTTTAATAACATCGATTTCAATTGTACTGCAAGCTGGATCAGTCGTTTCAAAGTTCGACATAATATTGTGGCAGGAAAAATTGTCGGAGAATCTTTGTCTGGTGATGAAAATTCAACAACAAACTGGTTAACATCTGTATGGCCAAATCTACGTGAACAATTTTCTGATGGCGATATATTTAATGCTGATGAAACAGGACTGTTTTATAAATTAATGCCGGAAAGAACTTTAAAATTTAAAGGTGAGAATTGCAGTGGAGGAAAATTAACAAAAGACAGAATCACGCTTGTGGTAGCTGCTAATATGAGTGGCACAGAGAAAAAGAAATTGCTCATTATTGGCAAGTCCCAAAAACCAAGATGTTTTAAAAGTATTAAATCATTACCTGTCGATTATGCTAACAATCGTAAGGCTTGGATGACGTCGGAAATTTTGAAAAATGGATTCGAGATTGGGATCGTGATTTGGTGAAGAAGAATAGAAAAATTTTATTACTGGTTGTTAACTGCCCGGCACATCCAAATATTGCTGATTTAAAGTCAATAACACTTGCTTTTTTTCCACCGAATACTACTTCAATACTACAACCAATGGACCAGGGAATAATTCGTTCACTGCAAACAAATTTTAGAAAAAAACTTGTTTTAAAAATGATTCAATGTGTTGATGATAATGAAGATCTTTCTTCAAAAATAACGGTGCTAGACGCAATTTTAATGGTCAATGATGCCTGGAACAAATTGCAACAAAATACCATTCATAATTGTTTTAGGCATTCAGGATTAAATAAAAGCCACGACGATTCATCATTTCAAATTTCAGAAAATGAATTTGTTGAAGAAGATGTTCCTTTATCTTTGTTGTTAAGAAACCGAAATATAGATTTAGCAACAACACCGGAAATGTGGGAAGAGTATGTTGATATCGATAATACTCTTATCACATGTGAAGAACTTACTGATGAAAATATAATACAAAATATTAATGACAATGAACTATTTGGAAGCGATGAAGAGGAAGAAGTCGATGACAAACTACCTACTGCAGAAGAGGCTTTGAAAGCTGCGGAATTACTATCAAAATTTGTCTCTAGCAATATTGAAAACGAAAATGTAACCAATGCTATGTCTTTTGTACACAACAGTGTCAGAGACTGTTTTTGCAATAAGATGAAGAAAAAAATTCAAACGAAAATTACAGATTTCTTACATCAAAAAATGCATTGTTATGTCATATTTTTAATTAAATTTGTCAATTTGTTAGTATGTGTCATTTTTTACCTTTATTTTTGTATTAAATTACTGAAATTAATAACATATTCGCCAAAAATTGTTTTTTTTTCAGTACGCTTAGTATGACGACCGCTTAGTATGACAATTTTTCGCCGTCCCTTGAATGTCATACTAAGCGGATTCTACTGTATATATATATATATATACTCGTATATATATATATATATATATATATATATATATATATCTATATACAAATATTTACAAACTAGTTGGTATCGGTATTTAGCCTTGAGGCAAGTTACATGAACTTCCCGATATGTTTAAATAATCGACTTAATCAATAAAAAATAAATTAATTTATGAGCCATTAAAAGTATTCCGAGTGGATTCATTACACATAAATGAAAACGAACGAACACTTTGACTCGGAGTATTTTCTAAAAGCTAATTTTAAAAAATCAATAATTTTTAGAATTGAACCAGTTTCCAGGACTTTAATGGTTTATTATGTTCAAGACCAAGTACTCTATCATTATACCAAGTAAATAGTCTAATTTTAATTTTAACAAATGTCAAAAGAACTACTCATTTTCTCAAACTTTGATGAATTTTTAAAATCAAACTATTTGCCGTAAGGCCGTAATATTTCAGTAAGTTCTATAAGACCATGGTATCATTTAATTTTTTTTTTTCAACAGTTAATTACAAGAAAACGGCTCGGTAGATTTTCATCTAAAACTAATCAGTATCATTCCCAACTAATATCTTTCGAACAGTTTTTGATTTTTTAAAATCGGTTCGGTAGGATGAGCTTAAATGTGGACGAAAAGTTTAACACTTTTTTTCAAATTACAAAGAAACGGCTTGGCAGATCGTCGAACCAAACTGACAATCGATAGTCTTCACCGAAATACATCAAATGGCTTTTAAATTTCTGAAATCGGTTCAGGCGTTTTTGAGAAATCGTCGATCAAAGGTCTAATTTTGACAAATGTCAAAAAAACGATACCAATTTTTGCAAACTTTGACGAATTTTTAAAGCTAAACGAGTGGTCGTAGGGCCGTAATATTTTAGTATGACCTAGAAAACTATGGTATCTACCGTCAAAAAAAGTCATAAAAATCGTCGAATTTTTTTTTTTAAACTTCATTGCAAGAAAACGGCCCGGCCGATCTTTACCAAAAACTAATCAGCACGATTCCCAACCAATATCTATCGAATGGTTTTTGAATTTTCAGAATCGATTCAGAATTGCGGGCTAAAACGTGGACGAAAAATTTTTCACTTTTCTGCAATTTACAAAGAAACGGCCCGGCCGATCGCCGCACAAAACTCAGAAACGATAGTCCTCATCGAGATACATCGAATGGCTTTTAAATTTTTGAAATCGGTCCAGCCGTTTTAGAGAAAACGTCGATTTACGGCAAAAAATCTGTTCACACACACACACACACACATACACGCACACACACACACATACTTTTTCCAAATTTGGTCTCATTCGATTCAGAATGGCTTGAAACGTCGAGAAAACATAAAATTAGCGAATCGGATTTTTTGATGAAAACATAAACTTCTCCTTCGGGAAGTTAATTATAGAAAGTTCTGACAAGATGATCGGAGCCATGCTTCTAGATTGAGCCAGTCACCAACGGTTGAGTGTTTATTTCCGTATATCTCAGCGTACTATATCCACTTGGAACGTCGGTTCAGACTCTCTCAATTTGCTTTAATAAGTGTTCCTACTGAGTGTACTAACTTATTGGCACGCTGAGAGCCGATCCGCAAAGAGACAGATTCTGGAACGGGGCTCTGGTTTTATACCCTAGAGGTCCGTCGAAGCCCAACCCTCGTTTCTTTGGGGGTAGGTGGTGGATATTCTCCCATCTCGTTCCATCTTCCCTGGTTGCGATGGTTTGTGCTTTTTCCTTATCTCGTCTTGGTCTTCGGTGGTCATGTCTTTTTGAAAATCAAAATCAAGAAGGAAAAAAAAGCAGAATAAAAGGAATTAAATAAAAGAAATAGAATAAATAAATGAATAAATAATAATTAAATAATAGTATTAATAATAAAAACAATAATCAATGATAATTAAAAATAACTTGTTTGAAAATGTTCCTGTGCAAAACAGAGAAAATTATGTTTTGAACGGTAGATTACTGGGCCATTTTATTTTCAAGCGTTTTAATTTTTTGGCTGTCTGTACTATTTGCATTTCCGGATTGACGTGTGCATCCAATTTGCTTTGAAAAATTAAACTTCTGTTTTTGATAACTTACGCTACTGTAGGAATTTTTAAGTCTTTATGGATCATGTGGTTGGTCATAAATCACGCAGCCTTACAGATAATTCTCAGAATATTGTTTTGGACTCTCTGGATTGAATGTTACTCTTGCTGGCGCAGCCCCATAGCTCTATCCCATAAGTTCATATTGGAATTATTATCGCTTTGTATAATAGTTTATTTTGGATGAGACAGTTTGGATGATCTTCTCATTAGCCAGTTTATTTCTTTCAGTATCAAATCTATTTGTTTTTTTTTTCATTAAAATATGCGTTTTCCAACTTAGTTCACTGTCTATATGTATTCCTAGGTATTTTACGGATTCCTGGTTTGGTATAATTCTCTTATTCAAATACAAGGCAGGTCTTGTGTGGCTTCTCAGTGAAATGATGAGGTGTTGAGATTTCTTAACGTTAGGTTTTATACTCCATTTATCTAGCCATAGTTTTATTTTCGCCAGGTAATTTTGAAGTAAAGAAGTAGCTGTTTTCACATCGTTATGACTTGAGGTAATAGAAATGTCATCAGTATATGTGCTTATTGTTAATGTCGGATCGAGTGGCATATCACTCGTTAATAGCAGATATAGTTTTGGACTGAGAGCACTACCTTGTCGAACACCGGATCTTTTTTTTTTTTAAATAAAATAAAAACAGTAATACAAAAATAATAACAAAAATGAACTATGACGTGATTATGTATGCCGCGTACTACGTCAGGGCGCGTGCAGACATTGGGCTAGGTGTTTGGTAGATCGGAAGGCCATTTCTTGCTCAATCTTCTTAACGGTCTGTGAATCGCTTGAATAGTAGGATTTGTATGCTGGATTAATTTATTGTTGAAAGATGAACTTCTAATCTTGATCATTTCGTTAACTGTTGAGATTTTCAAATCCTTATGTAGGCAAAAGTTCGAAATATACCAAGGCGCATTAGTAAGGATACGCAGAATTTTGTTCTGGCACCTTTGAATGATGTTTATGTTAGATTTGCAAGAGCAACCCCATAGTTCGATTCCATAAGTCCAAATGGGCACTATGATAGTTTTGTACAGAAGTACCTTGTTATCGAGAGAGATTTCAGATTTCCTCCCAAAAAGCCAGTAAAAATCTTTTATTTTTAGTTGGATTTGTTTCTTTTTATATTCAATGTGCGTTCTCCATGTCAATTTCGAATCAATGTGCATGCCTAAATATTTGACAGAATTGCATAGTGGAATTATTGAATTGTTCATGATGATAGGTGGACTGTTGTGATGTTTTAGAGAAACAATTATGTGCTGAGATTTTTCGATATTGATTTTGATATTCCATTCTAAAAACCATTTTTCGAGACTAGATAAATAATTTTGTAACTGGCATGTTGCTGTTCTGATATCGGAATCGCATGAAATAATTGCTATGTCATCGGCGTAAGTGCATATGGTTAGAAGATTATCTGTGGGCATATCGTTTGTAAAAAGAAGATAAAGTACTGGGCTTAGCACACTGCCCTGTGGTACCCCGCATTCTATATTTCTAATGCTCGAAGTCACATCTTTAATTTTGATTCTAAATTTTCTATTAAGCAAATATGAGCTCAAGATATTGAAGTAGTTTGGAAAAGTTGATTTGATTTTATATAGGAATCCTGAGTGCTAAACCTTATCAAAAGCCTGGCTGACATCTAAGAATACGGCTACGCTGTGTTCCTTCCTATTCATGGCTTCAAAAATACGAGACACCGTTCTGTTGCATTGTTGAATTGTAGAGTGATTTTTTCTGAAGGCAAACTGATGGTGAGGAATCCAACTATCATTCGGGTGATCTTCTGACAATCTTTGCAACAAAAGTCTCACTAAAATTTTCGATAATATCGATAAAAGACTGATAGGACGGTCTGAACTAGCAGTGTGATGGTTTTTGTTTGGTTTAGCGATCATAATAATTTTTGCAGTCTTCCACGCTGTGGGCCAATAATTGTATTGAAGTATGGCGTTGAAAATATTTGTTATATATAAAATACCTTTTGTAGGCAATTCTTTTAACATCTTTGGAATAATTTTGTCCATACCCGGCGAAGAACTATTTTTTATCCTTTTTATTTCACATAAGACATCATTTGGTGAAAAATGTCCTAACGGTGTAGAATGTATGGGTTGATTTACGAAATTGTTAATTAAATTATTCTGCGAAATATTTCGAGCGCTAAAAATGCTACTTAGATGATCAGCAAATGCCTCCGCTTTTTCTTCGTTGCTTTTTGCCCAAATGAATCCGTTTTGGTTGGTTATTTTCAGAGGAGAGTTTTGTTGTAGGGGTTTACTTGCTGCAATATATACGACCTGAATGTACAATTCTTCCATTCTTTCATTTTTTTCCACAGCGTGTTATTGAGATGATTAAGCGATGTCTTATCCGTTGGTAGATGAGAATGTTGCCAGGTACGTCTTGCTCTTCGTTTCTGTGCAATTAGCTTCTTAATCTCTTGCGGAATTATTAGATTATCATTTCTTGGAATAATGTTCGGGGTGACCTGCTTGGTTGTTTCACGTACAATCTCAGAAAAATAATCTATATTATTTTCTATATCAATAACGCTTGTAGGCCTAGATTTTGGAAATAATTTTGAATCAAGTATGGATTTGAATTGTACCCAGTTAGAGAGATTGTTGTGTAGAATATGATTGTTGAAAACTGGAGTAGGAAATGTGCTAAACGTCACAAGTATTGGAGAATGATCTGAAGAGAGATCGTAACTAGATTCAATATTGAGATTTGAAAGATCAATACCTTTCACAATAAAAAAATCTAAAAGGTCTGGAACTTTAGTAGGGTCAGAAGGCCAATAAGTTGGACTGCAAGTTGAAATAAAGGAGAGGTTATTTTGCCCTATGGCTGCATGAAGTATCTTTCCTTTGGCTGTAGTCAGTCTAGAACCCCAGGCAATTTGTTTACAATTAAAGTCACCACCAATGATAAATTTATTACCTAATTGAGAGAAAAATGAAGAAAACTGAGCACAAGAAATTTTGAATCTTGGTGGACAATAAACAGCAGAAACACAAAAATTATATAAATTTGTTTCAACAGAAATTTGAGTTGCTTGTAGAAAATCATCACAAATATTTGGTAGAACAAAATGCTTTATATTATTTTTGATTAATATAGCCGAACCGCCCTGCCACTTAGGTGATTTGAATTATAAGTAGTGTAGTTATAAATTTTAAAGTAGTTTTTTCAGTGAAGTGTGATTCTGAGATAATAAGATATCTATTAAGTTTAATTTTAAAAAACATTCTACTTCATTTTTGTGAGGTAATAAACCGTTGGCATTCCATTCAGCAATTTTAATTATTTTTGCCATTGCTTTTGTTGTTGACTAACGTGGATAACATATTTATTATAATGGTGTTCTGTTGCAAAAGCTGATTGAAGACATTTTTAAATTCTAAAATAAGTGTTGCTAGAGAATCAGAATCGGGATTTGAAGATGAATGATTAGAAGCCGAGTAATTGTTTTTTGCAATGTCTGCATAGGATGAATTTTGAATTGTTGGATTTAAGGCCGGAGAAATGTTGTTTATTTTAATAATAGAATTAGAATTATTAGAATTTTTAAAATTTTGGTTATTTGGATTTGGATTTATGACTGATTGATTTACTGGAGTTTCGTTTCTTTGTTCTTTAATTTTTTGGAAGTATGAGCAACCGCGATAATTAGCTGGATGAGCACCGTCGCAAATATAACAACATGCCGGAGCATTCGGATCTTTGGTACAAGCTTTTGTATTATGATTATCACCGCATTTTAGGCAAGCAAATGGTCTATTGCAGTATTTTTTGGTGTGATTAAAGAGTTGACAGCGAGTGCATTGTATAATGTTATTAGACTTTCTCGGAGGTTCGACGCGTATTATGCAGTTGAATAATTTATAAATGTTATAAATATTTTTGTTATTTCTATTTGGTTCCAGATCAACAAAAAACATATTAAGAGGTTCTTTTGTTATTATATGTCTAATATTTAGGATATTACGTACGACATGACCCTGTTTTAATAGTTCTAATTTAATTGCATCTGTGCTTGTTGAAAAGTGTACATTTGCTGGATCCAATAACGGTCTTACGTAGTTTTGGGATTTCTGATGGTTTACTGTCCGATTCCATATTCGCTTCTATATCTTGATTGAAATGTAAGACATTTTTTTGATTCCACAAACGCACATTAGAGTCTCGATTATGTATGGTTTTTTGTAAGCAATTATTTAATTATCTGTACTCTTTTGTAAGATTTTCATGCAATTTTAATAAACCGTAAAATTCAATCTGACATGCACTTGTTTTTTTTTCCATATCCCAAATGTGATCGAACACCGGAATGAATTGGTTTTGGAGAGGAGAGTTTTTCATTTTCTTTAATTTGAAAAGTACTTAGTAGTACTTAATGGATTAGCGTCAAAGCGCGGATCAAAAACGTAAATAAGCAAGTGCTCATTAAAATTGATGTACTAATTATGATTTCATCTATTATCATAGGAAATACAACGTTAATTGAAAGTTATATATTATATTACATATACTTACTACTTATATGACGTAGATACATTTATAATTAAAAATAAATTAAATGTTTCCAAAAAATAAATGGTAATATTTTATTATTTGCAATTACGCTAATTATCGTTCAAAATCTTGTTAATATGCAGACTGATCTTTGTTCAATTTTTTTTAGCAGAATAACGGTAACATAATATCATCAGATGACGAGTCTGTATCGCCACCAAAGAAAAAAAAGCCAGAAGATGACATGGACAAAATGTTAAAAATTCAATTGGTCAGTTTTTATCAGAATATAATAACACTAGTAAACAAAAATCATTTTATCCAATATATGGCCAAAGGTCTAGAGTGGTTCGAAGACGACACCAGGAAAATAGTAGAAAACCAATTAATGAATGTGTGGCGGAATGAAAATGTTCTTGACAGATGTCAGTTGATTGACGCCAATGTGATGACTAAACTACACAGCATACTTTGGGCTACGTTGATGCGAATGTCGCATCTAGCAAGCTGTAGCTAGATTGTTGTTTTCACGATCGTAAAATTGGTTCTCGCGGTTTTTAGTCAGCAATCAATTGTCGGGCTAATAAATTTGGTATCAAAATTTATATAATATCAGTTTCGTTGTAAATTGAGTTATCAATAAACTCACATTATCATCGAGTCTACAACAGTTAATTGCGGTTTCATTTCTAAATATAATTTATTAATATTAAATGGCTTACTAACGCCATAAATGTAATGTGTGAGGCCAGAAGAAATGTCATTGAAGAAAAAAAAGAAAAAAATGTTAACTCGGTAACTGATGAGTTAATAGACAACTTAAGCGAAATTATAAGTGTTCCGGGCCGTAGCTCATAATTTATATAAATCTTAGTATATTTATATTAATAAAGTAGATTTATAGTTGAATATGATTTTATTAATGTGCATTTTGTAATTATAGTTACAAAACAATTATACACTTATAAAATACAATTCATAATGCATATATATATCCTCAAGCCATGTTTGGAAAGTAAACATTTACGAATTTTTGCACTTCTATTCATTTGAGCAAAAAGTCCTTTATGGTCTTCACGCACTAGAAATCTGCTGACTGGTATTTTCTTCCTCGGTTTTTGATAATCAAGTGCCAAAGTTTTCTCAAGACCTTTGGATTATTAATATCAATTACCCAATAACGAGATGGGTTGGGCGTAAGATTTTTCTTCAATAAGTATATTTTTACAGCAAAGGCAAACAATTCCAAGGTCCATATTTTTGACAACGATTCAGTACTTTGTGTGAAACAAAGTTTGTTGTGTGGAACGTCCACGCCCAAAAAGAGATGTTCGTTTTGTTGGTAAAATATTTTGCCATGTCACTGCGCCTTCAGTTGAAAAATAATTTGCAAAATCTACTCTTACTTCTTTAGCTATGGCAGATACTGGCTTTCCTTCCAACTGGTTCAAAGTTATTTAATGCTGTTTCATGATTTGCTCGCCGTTCATCTTCAACAATGTGACCCATAATATCAGTGTCTATAGATCCAATCGGTGTGTGCAATAAGTTCGAGGTTTTACTTGCCCTCAAAAAAATGTGTATTAAAACTGTTGCTAATTCAATGCTATGAGCTTTATCGGTTGCAACGCCTAGCAGCCAATTGCTCCTTGAATGATATGCAGTATCTAAATGACGTCTATTTTCCCAATTTTGGGTCCTGCCATATCAATAAGTTTTTGAAAATCTTCTACTGACATTCTCATGAAGTTTTTGTGAAGTGTTCAGTGTTTTCATTGGAAATTAGTGACCTAAGTACATCACTTCGGATTCTAAATAAATGCGCCATCCTATAATGGCAGAAAGCTTTGTAAAATCTTTGCTCAGGAACCAATTTGCGATCAAAATCGTTTCAGACCTTGATCTACGGTCACACATTGTAAGCCAGGAAATAAACACTCTAGAACGAAAATCTAACGCTTGAACAAAAACCGATTACTTTTCTTCTACGCTGAAATATAAATTCACGATGAATATATGGTAATAAAATATTCATCTGTAATATAACATTCACCTTTACTTTCATTAACTATGCTCTCAGTATGCGCCGCGAACGCGAGTCAACGCATGCTAAACTGAGAGCCAGTGAACCTTTTGAATAACGGTGTTCCTGTAAGGCTGCAAATTTTGTACAGGTGATTCTTAACGTGCCAAGTGCGGAAACGACGGTCTGGCAGGTTTTAGTCCTGCACATCATGGTCGTCCAGGCGTTTGAAAGTGTAAACAACACCCCAAAATTAAACTTGTTCCTGTAAGGTTCAAATGTTTATACGATGTAATTTATTCGTTGAGAAGTTGAAATCAAACTGCCAGACACCGTTATTCAAAAGGTTCACTAGCTCTTGATCCGTTCGAGCGTCGCAAACAAGATTCGCCAGACAGATTCGTGCAATGGGCGCACCATTACACGTTTCTACGTTATCCGAGAATTGGCTCCTATTATTAGTAAATGGTGGTTATGAAATGTTGTTTGTCGATTTGTCGTGCAGATGTTTGGCAAATATAACCATTTGATTTTGACAAAATCTTTGTGACATTAATTCATTGACTAAATGGTTCGAAAAAACCAAAATACGTACACTTCAACTACGTTGTTAAATTATATTATTTTTAAATATTTTTTTAAATTCATAAGAATTTCTTACTTTTTTATGCAACTTGCATTGATTGTTTTAGAATTAAGTTCCTGTAACGGGCATTCATTTGTTAGATCATCATTGCAAAGATTGAGGTAGTCTTGTACCATACTTACAGAAGATAATAAAATAGTTTTTCTTTCTATTCAAATAATTAATGGAAATACATATTTGAAATAAAAAATTATATTTATTTATTTATATCACTGGGATTTGCTCCTCTTTGTCTGAAACTGAAAACATACAAATTTCAGTTTGATTTTCCATCATTTCTTGAGTGTAATTTTCTCCAACATTGTCGACAAGTGATTCAAGGACTTTTCGGGCAAATTGTTCAAAATAACTTGAAACGTTGAGAACACAAAATTAGCAAATAGGATTTGCTGATGAAAACATATTCTTTTTCAGAAAGTTAGAATGAAATATTGTTTATTAAACATTATAATGGAGCAAGAAGTACATTTTTGAGCTATTTTCAATAAGCTCACAATAGCATAGCGAAAATAGTACTCGTATGTACTGATTTAGTACCAAAACTCTGTTTTTCTCTCCAGCCTACCAAAAAAAGCAGAAGACTGAGCAGAAACAGAAATTGTGGGCTTATGTACAATATCTGATATTATTAAGAAAATAATGATAAACAAAATACTTACTTGCTAAAGATTCAAGCTTTTCCTCAATGGCTGAGGTGGTCGGTGGAATACTATCTTGAATGGCTGGCTCATTATTTCCTATTGAATATACAGCTTTTATCAATACTTTTAATAATTTATTACTTTAATACTTACTTATTATTTTAATACTTACTCGCTACCGATTGCTCCTCAATAGTTGAGGTAGTGGGATGATGGTAGTCAAGATATTGAGCAGTTGTGATATGAGTTCATGTTTTTCAATTATTTGTGCCATACTCTGCACATCTTTGGGCAAATTTGCATCAAAATGTTTATTGATTATTTTTAATAATTGATTTGCTTGATCCTCTTGTATTTGAGTTTCTTTGATTCAAACATAAAGTTTGTTCAAACAAATGTTATTAGTCGAAGAGACAGTTTCGTTGATTGATCTATTCACTGAAATAAAAAAGCGGACAGAATCTACTTTCTAGTCTTTTTCTAATTAATGGAAATACATATTTGAAATTAAAAATTATATTTTTTTATCAAAATGTTAAACACTATGTGAGATTTATTTTAAGTGCTCAATTCAATTCACAGTATGCGCAGTTGCCGCGAGTAGCGCTAGTGTCTATCAATTTCAACTGTCGCCGTAAATCTTTGTCTGTGTAGACGCGCATTCTGTTTAAGTTTCCCACCTTTTCGATATGACATGATGCAAAGGAGAAACACTCTGTCACTTCAGTTCGTTGCTCGTGGTTCTTTCGATGTTAGTGCGAAGTGTTACAAAAAGTTTTAATTGCAATTTTATCTGTCGACTGCTACTTTTGGTGCGTTCTTTATGGAGTTTTTTTTACTATACCATTATAAATCAATTAATAATATTAACAGTGTTCAATAAATTGTGTTGATCTGTTATGTTTCTGTCAACAGCAATGGAGATCGTATACTGTATGAATTACGATCTATGAATTATACATTTATTAATGTGTTTATGTGAAATTTCAAAGATATTTGTTTTCAGATATTTGCCAAGATGATAAAAAATATACGCACCGAATTGTTAATGGAGGTTGGTTTCGAAGAGAACATGATGTTATTTGAGTTGCATAGAAAGCTTTTCAGGTTTGAGTAATATTGCCGCATGTCAATGAAAACTAAAAATATTTTAATCAGACATAAAGTAAGTGTTTATTATTACTTATTTGCATGCTGTTGAATATCAAAATGATGATTCTTCTCAAGTGTATATGGATCTTTGAAAATTTATCTGAATTAACGTAGCACAATAATTATGTAGTCAAACATTGGTAAACTCATCATCGAAGTTGATTTTTCATATTGTGAAATATCAAAAAAATATTTCAAGTGCCTGTGGACATTATAATATTTATCCAGATTATACTTGATTTGACTTGAAGTGATAATTATGATGAGCAATAATTGATATATGGAATATTATTTTTTAAACCATATACTAATATAAGTCTAAATAATTTAATTTATTATCACAATTACCTCAAGAATAAGTATTTGGATTTTTATTATGTCCAACTTGCCTTCTTATGTTGCCAAAAAAGTCTTCCAGGGTGTTCTGATTAAAATTTTGCATACACAAATGATTAAATCAATTAATTGAATTTGAATTTTTGCCAAATATGTTCCAAATCATCTATGGTTCTAATTCAATTTTTAATTGTAGAAATTTTCATAATGATTGTGATGTAATCTGTTTTAATAAAATGCATTGAGAATAA